CTGGTATTTCTTCACGGATACAGTGTTTGGGAAGGGAAAACTGTGGCCTTTTTTCCGCGGGGGCAGCGCAGCGCTGGTATTTCTTCACGGATTTGGTGTTTGGGAGGGGCAAACTCTGGCCTTTTTTTCCGCGGGGGCAGCGGAGCGCTGGTATTTCTTCACGGATCTAGTGTTTGGCAGGGGAAAACTGTGGCCTTGTTTCCGCGGGGGCAGCCAGCGCTGGTATTTCTTCACGGATACAGTGTTTGGGAAGGGAGAACTGTGGCCTTTTTTCCGCGGGGGCAGCGGAGCGCTGGTATTTCTTCACGGATTTGGTGTTTGGGAGGGGCAAACTGTGGCCTTTTTTCCGCGGGGGCGGCGGAGTGCTGGTATTTCTTCACGGATTTCGGACCTCGCCACTGTTTTGGCCCAAGGCCGGTTGTGCGTCCAGATCTTCTGCAAGAGCCCTCCTTCGGTTCGGAGCATTGTTGATGCTGCCTGGAACCGGTCTCTCCCTTGGTGCCAGGCCGCCTCCCCAGCGACTCTGCGGGCCTTGCAATGCCACTCCTGTGCAGCGTCGGGCCGCTACTCTTGGGGTTCCTGTTCTCGATGAGGATCTTACTCGAGAATGGGATGCTGTGGCCAGGCTCCCCGCTCTCTCAAATCTTGTTCCCGGCAACCTTCACCGGGTCTCCGCCTCATCCTGGCCACCTGAGCCTTCCTTGGGCCCACCGTTGGCTGCCGCTCCTGCCTATCCGTCCCTGAGCTCTTCTTTGGTCGGTGGGTGCGAGCACCCTCCGGATGTTGCTCGTGCCAGATGGTTCCATTTCGTTGACGGAGCCGCTGCCTCTGAGGATGTCGCCCTGCCTACCCTGTGGTGGCCAGGTCTTCTTGCCTTGCCGTGCGTGCTGCAACTACCAGCTGCTTGGCATCGCTTCTGGCCCATGTGGTCTGCGCTGCAGTCTTTTGACCCTTGGGACTTCGCTGCCACTCGCCACTTCCGTGTCCTACGGTCGGCGTCCTGCGGTGGATTGGGCGATCGCGGCCTTCTCAGTGCCGCTGTTGATGGCACGTGGTCCCTCCTCGGCTTGGCCTCTGCCCTGGTCTCCTTCCGCCTTTCATGTCGTGCCGTTTCCCGAGGAGGGGCCTTTTGGATTTGGGGCCGTCCTAGCCCTGCTGGGCTATCCCTGCTTCGTCTGCTGCTCCCCTCAGCTTCCTTTGCGTGTTTTCCCTCCGCAGGGAGGCAGATCTTTGTCGCTGCCGGGTCCGACTCTTTTGCGTCTCAGCTGCGCTTCGCTTTGGCGCGCACTGCTGGGGGCGCCGCCTCTTCGGACCCCGTCGCGGCTCCGCTTCGGTCTTTCTGGGCGTATCAGCCTTTGGCGTGACGCTTTGCTGGTGCTGTCTTGAGTCCGGCTGCTTCGCTTTGCGTGTTGCCCTTGTACAGTCCTCCCTTTAGGTCGCTCTTTTACAGCAAGAAAGCTTCTCGACCTGCTTGCATGCTTAACTAGCACAGGATCTTTCCTCTGGCGCGTGAGAGAGTGAGTGAATTTGGGAGGGGAAAACAATGGCCTTTTTTCCGCGGGGGCAGCGGAGCGCTGGTATTTCTTCACGGATTTAATGTTTGGGAGGGGAAAACTGTGGCCTTGTTTCCGCGGGGGCAGCGGAGCGCTGGTATTTCTTCGCGGATTTAGTGTTTGGGAGGGGAAAACTGTGGCCTTTTTTCCGCGAGGGCAGCGGAGCGCTTGTATGGGAAAACTGTTGCCATTTTTTCCGCGGGGGCAGCGGAGCGCTGGTATTTCTTCACGGGTTTAGTGTTTGGGAGGGGTGCTTTGGATCTAAATGCGATGGCAATATGTCTTTGTTTTACCAGTGGACTTCAAGAGCGACCACTGGTCTTCTTCAGCAACTGTGGGACAGGACAGAAGCAGTGCTCTGCGACACCCAACTGCGTCGTGTGGCTGAAAACTACCGGGCAGGATGGTTACCCGCTTGGATGGAATTGCCAAGATGACTTTCTCAACAGGAATTACAAACAGACAATCTCACCAAGCTGCTTCTTGGTCCCGGCTACATAGCCAGGCATTGCGATGCTTCTAGCTAGCACCGTCTGCAAAGACAATGTTCGACATGAATCTGACAGAGGTCAATATTCTGAGCTGGGCCATGGTGTGGCTTCGAAGTGACAAGTACAGGTGCGGCATGAGAGTAGCAGTAGCAAATGGCAAGTCACCGTGTTGAAAAGAATGATCACATGTCTCGCCTGGACCTGCTCCCAGGCAGGTGGATGACTTTGTGCCTAAGGGTTCACATCCCATGACCGTCGACGAGGACGAGCTGTTCCTTCTCGCCGGCTTGGAGGACGAGGAGGCATCGCATATTGAAACATGGAAGGAAGAGTCCTCAAGCTTACGCATCTTCCCAACTCTCAAGCCGTCGTGTCTGATGGACAAGGAAGGAATCCGGTACAATCGTCTGAACTTCGCACACGTTTTGAGTCCCCACATGAGACCTGCCCTGCCATGAACCAAATGCAACGAAGATTATGAGCCCACGAGGGCTGAGAGATCACACGCGGCATAGCCAGCTCTTGTCCATTGGCTCTCCTCTAACGGACAAAAGCCTTTACTATCTCGCACAGACAGAAGCAGCTGTCGAATTGTAGAGAACTTTTCCACGCTTGTCTTGGCCATGAATAGCTTTTCTTCTTGCCACGACTTTTGCAACCGTTGGGTTTGGCGCCAGGCCATCAAAGCCATTAAAGAAAAGGAGTTTCCTGCATCTGGGCAGCATTCGGGGCGTGCCCGACTCAGTGCGAGCATCCGGTCATCTGCTGCATCCGGGGAGGCCATGCTCCCGCCACGATGTCGTTTACAACGATCTCACTTGTGCGACAGACGAGTCGACAGGCAGGTCGTGCAGTCTGTCTTGTCTGACTCAATGGTGCCTCGACGTAACCACAATTCTTCGTCCTGGCCGAACTTGTGGACGATACTGTTTGGGTTCGTCATGGTTCAGCAGCAGCAAGAGGTCCATCAAGAAACGCCCAACCCAGCAAACCTGCAGTAGACAGGTGGCTGGCCAAGTGCTTTTCTTCGTTTCATGATCCTCAGGTTCGTTAGTGGCTGCATAATTTTTCATGTGATTCATGTTTGGTTCTATGCCTGGCGTGTTTTACAAAACTGGGAATACAAGCTGCGAGGCAGGGCTAGAGATGAACACCGCTAGGGAACAAGCAGGAACATTCGTGGCTTTTGGTAGGGTGGACTTCCGCTGAATGCATCACTTCCTGTTCAGCGTGTCATTTCTCCAAGCACGTTCCACAGTGCCCTTTCCGAGCATACCAAGGGCACAAACATGGATGGAAGACTGATTGTATCTCATGCTCAAGCAGCATGCTGTTTTGAGCCGCCAGGCCGTGATAGATTCCGTGTCCGTGACTTTGGAGAGCCTTGGCAGAAAAGCTAAGATGTGGAGCTGCAAATGAGAGGATCCAATCAGAGTTTCTGTAGCAGGATTTGCTTCTCCAGTCAAGGAGTTCCTCGATGGCAAGAGGCATAGAAAAAGATATCCTGGTCATGCCACTTGTCAGATACCCTCTCAAGGAACAGCCAAGTAGCATTGGTCCTCTACCAAAACCTGCTGCTATAAGGTAGATGTACTGCCGAAGTGGACGAGGTCTGTGAGGCACACGAGGGTGTGGGAAGGTGAGGAAAACGTATGCTGCTTGTGCGAGAACCAGTTGCTCAGCAGGACTTCTTTGCGGCTGATCATTTACGCCGTGTGCGGCATCGCATCCGCAGAAACCTTAGCTGCCGTTGTCAGTGCCCCGAGCCTGTGGGATTCTTGACAACTCTTCTGTAACTGTACATGCTGAAAAGCGTAGGGCAGGGAACACCTACTGCCTGCTCTGTGCTGAGTGAGCAACAGCCTTATTTGAGAGCTTAGTCTGCCGCCCACTGCAGATGGTGGCACGGATCCTTGACGTTCGGTTCGTGCAAGACAAATTCTAGCAAATGAGACATCTGTTGGCAAAAGTTGCGGTTCTCGTTGCTGAAAGACTCATTCCAGCGCTGCAACTGATCGAAGCCCTGCAAATCTGGCCACTCATGGACACAGAAGTACTGGTTCACCATGCCTTCCTAGCACCTGCAAATCGAAACCCAGGACGCAGGAAGAGAGTGGAAAACTGGCATGTGCAGCTCAGACCAAATCATCCTAGGTACTGAGACCAGCGATTGCAAGCGCACGAATTCATTTCGGTTGGGATTGTTGCTTTAGGCTTTTGGGGTGTCGCTTGGTATTCGGGTTTGGGGTTGAGGGTTTGGGCCCGAAAAAGGCAGAAAGTGTCCCTTCGAAGATGTGATCTTGCGCTATCATTCGGCTCAAGATCGGCCCTCGTGTTGGACCATCAACGCCCGGCGCATAGCAGGCCGTGAGCGGACTCCACGTCATTTTGACGCGGAGGTCGCTTCGGGGAGGCCATTGCAGTATGCACAGAGCGGAATCCATGTCATGGGGATATGGAGGTCGCTTCGCGTGCTGTGTTTGTGAGTCGATCGGTCTCTCTGTCTCTTTGTCTGTCTGTCTCTCTGTCTCTCTGTCTGTCTATTCATCCCCCTATCTCTATGTATATGTATATATATATATACACACATATCATATGCATGCTCGTCTCTCTCTCTCTGTTTTGTATGTGTGTATGTGTGTGTTTATGTATCGTCACTGTATCGTGCAATTAAGTTGCTGAATAAGTTAACTAGCCAGTTGTTATGCCTTATCTTTCTGTTTCTATCTGCACATATACAGGTTGCTGCTTACAGACGAAAATATGTATGCATGCACAAGGTATATTCGCACACATATATTTAGATGTGTTTAAATGTATGTAAATGTACGTAAATGTATATATAAATATATATATGTATACGTCAATACATGTATACACATAAAAAATGCATACACTACTTGCAGCATTGCATGTGCTCCGAGGTCACCGCTTTGTTCCAGATCGCCAAAGAGCAATGATTGCATGTGCCTCAGTTTGTCATGCGCATCGGGCACTCGTAGACTCCCGTTGAGTTGCTGCTTGTGATGAGTTCGCCGTCATGATTCATGGGTCATTGTGGCAGTTTTTTATGATGATAAAGTTCCGCTGCTATGACTGCTCCTCCGAAGCGCTGCGGTTGCAACTAGGAACTACTATGTGTGGTATGCAAAAGCGAATCTAACGAGTGCTACTACCGCCGCTGCTGCTCTGCCTCTCCTTTTGTCATTGCTGCTACGGTTGTTATGCTGACTGCATCTGGTATGCAAAGGCGACTCTGACGACTGCTGCTGCCGCCGTTGCTGCTCTGCCTCTCTTGCTGTCATTGTTGCTACGATGCAAGACGCTGTGACGACATCTCATTTCTTGCCAAGGCGTGCTCCCCGGCACCCACTGAAAGGCGGGGCTCGATCCGCCAAGCACTTTGGGCCCGCAACCCGCCGCCCTGCCGCAGCCTTCAGCAGGCCTACTGCCCAGGCAAGCACACCAGGCCAGGTAGCCGGGCTGAGACGCGAAAAGCTCGAGTTTTTCGCTTGCACTTCAGGTTAGGGAAAGAAGATCACAGCCGAATCTTCAGTCGTCAAGACGTGCCGGCACGGGCTTGCAGCATTTTGAATCTGCTCTGAGGTTGCCGAGCTGTTCAAGGCTGCCGAAGAGCAATTGCCTCAGTTTGTCATGCGCATCGCGCACTCGTATAGACTCCATGAGCATGAAGACCCTGACTTTGAGTTGATACTGGTGATGAGTTCGCCGTCATGAGACATGGAGTATGCTGCCTATTCTTTTAATGATCAGCTGCCACTGCTACGACTGCTCCTCCCGCAGTTGCAATTCGGAACGACTAGGTCTGGTATGCAAAGGCGACTCTGACGACTGCTGCCAGCACTGCTGCTCTGTCTCTCTTTCTGTCATTGTTGCTGCGGTTGCCACGATGCAAGACGCTGCGACGACATCTCATTTTGCCGAGGCATGCAAAGCGCGCTGAAAGGCGGGGCTCGATCCGCCAAGCACTTTGGGCCCGCAACCCGCCGCCCTGCCGCAGCCTTCAGCAGGCCTACTGCCCAGGCAAGCACACCAGGCCAGGTAGCCGGGCTGAGACGCGAAAAGCTCGGGTTTGTTCGCTTGCAAATCAGGTATGGGAAAGAAGATCACAGCCGAAGCTTCAGTCGTCAAGACGTGCCGGCACGGGCTTGCAGCATTTTGAATCTGCTCTGAGGTTGCCGAGCTGTTCAAGGCTGCCGAAGAGCAATTGCCTCAGTTTGTCATGCGCATCGCGCACTCGTATAGACTCCATGAGCATGAAGACCCTGACTTTGAGTTGATACTGGTGATGAGTTCGCCGTCATGAGACATGGAGTATGCTGCCTATTCTTTTAATGATCAACTGCCACTGCTACGACTGCTCCTCCTGCGGTTGCAATTCGGAACGACTAGGTCTGGTATGCAAAGGCGACTCTGACGACTGCTGCCAGCACTGCTGCTCTATCTCTCTTTCTGTCATTGTTGCTACGGTTGCCACGATGCAAGACGCTGCGACGACATCTCATTTTGCCGAGGCATGCAAAGCGCGCTGAAAGGCGGGGCTCGATCCGCCAAGCACTTTGGGCCCGCAACCCGCCGCCCTGCCGCAGCCTTCAGCAGGCCTACTGCCCAGGCAAGCACACCAGGCCAGGTAGCCGGGCTGAGACGCGAAAAGCTCGGGTTTGTTCGCTTGCAAATCAGGTATGGGAAAGAAGATCACAGCCGAATCTTCAGTCGTCAAGAAGTGCCGGCACGGGCTTGCAGCATTTTGAATCTGCTCTGAGGTTGCCGAGTTGTTCAAGGCTGCCGAACAGCAGTTGCCTCAGTTTGTCATGCGCATCGCGCACTCGTATAGACTCCATGAGCATGAAGACCCTGACTTTGAGTTGATGCTGGTGATTTGTTCGCCGTCATGAGACATGGAGTATGTTGCCTATTCTTTTAATGATCAACTGCCACTGCTACGACTGCTCCTCCTGCGGTTGCAACTCGGAACGACTAGGTCTGGTATGCAAAGGCGACTCTGACGACTGCTGCCAGCACTGCTGCTCTATCTCTCTTTCTGTCATTGTTGCTACGGTTGCCACGATGCAAGACGCTGCGACGACATCTCATTTTGCCGAGGCATGCAAAGCGCGCTGAAAGGCGGGGCTCGATCCGCCAAGCACTTTGGGCCCGCAACCCGCCGCCCTGCCGCAGCCTTCAGCAGGCCTACTGCCCAGGCAAGCACACCAGGCCAGGTAGCCGGGCTGAGACGCGAAAAGCTCGGGTTTGTTCGCTTGCAAATCAGGTATGGGAAAGAAGATCACAGCCGAATCTTCAGTCGTCAAGAAGTGCCGGCACGGGCTTGCAGCATTTTGAATCTGCTCTGAGGTTGCCGAGTTGTTCAAGGCTGCCGAACAGCAGTTGCCTCAGTTTGTCATGCGCATCGCGCACTCGTATAGACTCCATGAGCATGAAGACCCTGACTTTGAGTTGATGCTGGTGATTTGTTCGCCGTCATGAGACATGGAGTATGTTGCCTATTCTTTTAATGATCAACTGCCACTGCTACGACTGCTCCTCCTGCGGTTGCATCTGAAGCGTCGCCCTTCCTGTGTGATGTTCCCTTCAACACTCTGCCGCGGACATCTCAGGTACCCGACTCTGTTGACGTCACGACCCGTGGCGGGGACCTCAAGCCGCAGCAGTCGCAGACATCGGACAGTAGTAGTAGTAGCAGTAGTAGTAGTAGTAGTAATAGTAGTAGTAGTAGTAGTAGTCTAGTAGTAGTAGTAGTAGTAGTAGTAGTAGTAGTAGTCGTAGTTGTCGCAGTCGTAGTCCGTTCGATTTTTGGTCGCAAGGGGAGTGTTCTCTCTGAAGCGTTAAGCTTGAGACGGCATTCTGCCAGCAAAAAGCCTACTACTACTACTACTACTATTACTACTACTACTACTACTACTATTACTACTACTACTACTCCTGCTACTACTACTGCTACTACTACTACTACTGCTACTACTACTGCTATTGCTACTACTACTACTACTACTACTACTACTACTACTACTACTACTACTACTAGGGTTGCGTGCCTCCTGGCGCCTGGTAGTTTTCAGTTGTTCGAGGGTGTAAAATGCTTGGTTTTTCAGAGTCTTTAGATATTGTAGTTAAACCAACTTCAAAAAACTAGTTACTTGGGTTTATGATGATGATGATGATGATGATGATAAGGATGATGATTGTGAGGATGATGATGAAGATGGTCAGGTTAACGATGATGTTGAAGATGGCGAGGATGATGGTTATGAAGATGATGATGAAGATGGTCAGGTTAACGCTGATGCTGAAGATGGTGAGGATGATGTGGGACGCGCACCGTTTTTTCGAGGTTTTGTGGTTGCAGAGGCGCTGCTGCTACTGCTGCTGCAACTGCTACTGCTGCTGCTGCTGCTGCTACCGGCGCCGGCGCTACTGCGTTACTGCTTGTGGTCAACCATGTCGTTATTAGCCCCCCCCCATCCCGGCACCCTAGCAAAACGCCCAAAAACGCAGACAAACAGAGGTTAACACCAGGCGCCTGGGGGCAAGCATAGCTACCACCACTACTGCTGCTGCTGCTACTACTACTACTACTACTACTACTACTGCTACTACTAACACCACCACCACCACCACGACCAGCACTACCAGCATTACCAGCACTAGCAGCGCTAGCAGCACTAGCAGCGCTAGCAGCATTACCAGCATTACCAGCAATACCACCACTACCGCCACAACACCACCACAACACCACGACTACCACTACCAGCACTACCAGCACTACCAGCACTACCAGCACTACCAGCGCTACCAGCACTACCAGCACTACCAGCAGTACCAGCACTACCAGCGCTAGCAGCACTACCAGCACTACCAGCAGTACCAGCACTACCAGCACTACCACCACTACCACCGGCTCTTTCAGGGCTTAGGCTAGCGAAGAACCCGATCTAGACATGATGGTACTAGTATTACCAATTCCAAGGCCTGAACCTTCGTATGGAAATTCGGGAGGATTTACGTCCGAAGTCTGGCAATCCTGATTGTTTGTGAGCTGGCGTACTCTGAGCCGACTGACCAGGCATAAGGTAATACAGTAATACGGGCTTTGGTTTTAAGGGCGACCACCTTGCCAAAAAGCCCCAAGCACACTTCCACAGCCTGATCCACAAATCAACAAACCCAGGCCCAAGCCCCAGATCAGCTAGGCTTGTAAGAAAGAGGCTTGAACAAATAGCAAGTTGTAATGGCAACTCTATACTTAAACTAGAATCTTATCTGCCTCAAAACCCTGTACGAATGGTTGGCCCAGCTCTTTCCTTCAGAACGTCAGAACCGTAGCTTTTCTGACACACCGAGAGTGTCCTTTAGTCCTCTAGGGGTCCTGCAGGGGTTTGGGGCTTGAAGCCTTGGGCCCAAAATTGCCACAATACCGCATGGGACCCGGCATCCTGCACCCTAAAAAGCCTTGTAACGTTACCTGGGGAACCTTCAGCATGTGGTTTTCTTAGGGCACAAAATCCCAAGATGCAACCTTGAAGCCAAAAGGGTTTCGTTGCACTGAGAACCCACAGAGTATTCTGTAGGGATTCGAAGCGACCCCAAGCCCTAAATTCCCACCCGGCCTCATAGGGCAACTGGACCTAGCACCCGCTTCTATCAGATGCGGAACTGGCCGGAAATCGGCGAGAAATCTGGCTGGTTCGCCCGCGTGCCTGAGTCTTGGTTGCACACGGGCATAGCGCATACATATTCTTACGATCATCACTATCGTTGTTGTTATGGTTGTCGTGACTATTGTTACTGTCGCTAGTGTTGGAATTGCCATCAGTTTTGGTACCATTTCCATTACTACTGATTGTTTATTATAAGTCTTATTTTATTACTACTATTACGGTTACTGTTGTTCATTCTATGATGACTAGCAGCACGCTTCTCATTATTGTTACTCAGAGTCATCCCTGAGCCCATGGTTCAGGCAGGCAGCCGCGTCCCAATCAACGCCGGGTCCTCGAGGATTCGGGTCGTAGGTCCCTTTCGGGTTCAGGGGTTTTTGGGCTGGACCATATTGCGTGTCACCACCTTTTGGAATGTTCTGTCGGCTGGCACCCCGCTTAAACCGGTTGAGGTTCAGGGTTGAGGTAGTGGTTTGACGGTTCATGGTCCAGATGTTAGGGACTTCAATTCAGTTTCGAGGGGTTAGAACACTGTTGGGCTGGCGGGCTCTGGCAATGTCAAGTCTGAAGGGACTAATTGAGGGTTTTTCCAGGATCCTACAAACCATACTAAACCCTATAGCTTAAACCCACAAACCCCTGTTTCCCCCCGCCCCCCGCAAGCGCAAAGCTCCGGCCCCGACATGCAGGTCATGCAGTATCAGTGACGGCAAGTGTCTGAGTCCGGATGCAAAGGTTTAGGGTTTAGGGAGGTTTAGGGCTCAGGGTTTGGGTTCATAGCTAAGGCCCATCCATATCTGTTCAATACTACAATACTGCAACAGTCTGGAAGGCGTCATCATGCCCACTGCTGAAACTGCAGCGGTGCGCAAAGCGCATGCTTCTTTTTCTGACGTCCCCCTACGAATGTTATGATTCTAGCCTTTGCACCACCGACCTCGCGACCGGCAAAGGGTTGCTGCCATCTCGCAGACCTTGCCCACTCCTATATGCGTATCGCAGAGGGTTTAGGGTTTAGGGTTTATAGATTGCATGACGTAGCAATCTATCACATCTGGTACATAGTTTGAGAAGAGTCGAGAGCGCTAGACGTCGGATTGTGGGTAGCCGAACTGCAAGTTCATGATGGTGGACAAGTTTTGGGGAGCGGATCTGAAGAGTTACGTTTAGGTTCAGGAGCTCTTGGCAAGTGCCTGAGAGACCGATGTCGCTTCCCTGCAGATCCGAGTACAATGTTACTTTGTTTCTGCAAGTATGAAAAACTTCCGAATGCACTCTCCCTTAAGGGACCTGGATCCTGAAAGCCACCAGCTGTCTCGCGAACAAGCTTGAGACTCTGGCGAGCCAACATGTGCAAGAAGCGTTTCTTCTTGACATTGAGGCTGTGCCAACGTTAAACGTAGGCTCTTCGGCTTTAGTGTCTGAGGAACTGGTGCAACCTAGACTTCCTCATTTAGCACAAAGCTGCTGTGGTGAGAAAAAAGCCTCCACTGCTGCTTGTTGTGGCCGCCCGGCACAGATTGACAAGGTTGGGGCAGAGTTTGCTCCAGCTGTGCATTGCCGTCGCAGCGCTTGGCCCGAGACCGGAGGAGGGACCCACCCGTACGGTGCGAGCCCTTTGCATCTCAAGCTTTCTCGGACCAGTGTAATGTGACTCGCAGGCTGAGGTCAGCCTTGACGCCCAAGCCTCTCGAAACTGCATGGAGGTGACGGGCCCTAGATAGGACAGTAGCTAGGATCCCGGCGGGCCGCAGTGCCAATCAGCAGGACGATGTAGCCAAGATCAGCCAAGATAGATACCAAGTCAGCCGAATCATTGTTCATGCTAAGCCTAAGCTCAACAGCTGCCGAAATACAGTCCGGACATATCTATCTTCTTTCAGTTTCTTTCACACATCCCTGCATTGCTCAACTTGCGAGCCTGTGTGCCTTGCCACTTGAGGCCGGACCAGTTGCAAGTTCTTTGCATGCCACGGCACGAACAGTATCACGGAGCTTTCGAAATGCGAGGCGGCGCAGCGGCCATGGCGGCAGACATCCACATAGCAGATCTTGAGCAGCGGTTGCCTGGCAAAGACGATCTCATGTGGTCAAGCCTCGTTGGGATTCTCCGTGCCATCCGACTTTCACGAAGGCGAAGTCTCCAACAGAGGACGCTGCATGGTGGCAGTCTGAAGCCATTGCGATTCCCGCCAAAGCCGGGGCTCCATCAGTTCCTTGTCATCTTCAGTTTTGCTTTGAGGTCACCGGTGTCGGATGACCTCCTACGATGCCTACCTGGTGAGCCTGCATGTCTTGGTGTGTCTCGTGAGCTTTGCTTGAGCCATCCATAGCGGTAGGATGTGCTTAACAAAGCCAAGCAAGATGCGAACCACTGGGCGGTCCGAGCCTTATGCCAGTGGAAAGTTATCACGGAGGGCCACTACCGAATTCACACAAGACATGTGATGCCGTGTGTTGTTTGAGGCAACGCTGCACGGCAAAGAGCTACGGCTTCTGAAAGTTTTCTGCGGCTTCTTCAGAGAGGCGAGCGACGCTCCCGAGAAGCGGAACAGCAAGACTTCGCACAAGACTCGCGCTGCTTCGAGTCTGTTCGTGAGGAGATCCCAATGTTTGAGCGCTTCCGCCACCCAATGCTGTGGCTTGTCGAGTGGAGGCAACTGCTTGCGTGCCGCTCTCCTTCTGTTGCATACCACTCATTAGAGTGGTCATGGCAAAGTCTCTCAGTGTTGCACCGCCTCGCACCAGTGTTTTCGAGAGCTTCGTCATCATCCAGATAATCTGTAACGCCTTGGTGGCCTCTGCCAGCTTGAGCTGTCCTTCACGTCTGAAGCTTTCTGCTCGCCAGGTCATGGCACTTCCTGTTGCATACGACGAGGCAAGTCAGCCTAGAGGCCGACCCGAATACGTCGGACGGACTTGCGTGCGCACCGCAGATTTTCACATCCTGCTCCTTGCAGGTGTGGAGAACACCTACTTTGTGTTTGAGACCCTGGTCTCGGTCGACCGGGCGGAATTGTGCAGTGCCGGGAAGTTAAAGCACGGAGACGTGAGATTTGGAGAGCCATCGGGACGCAGCGATACGCAGCGTTCCTGGGATGTATTAAAACGCCTCAATTGATGGAGCGGCCGAATTCCGGTCTTGTTTTTCTGATTTGTCCTGCGGGTTTAGTTCCTGCTTGTGGTTGCCTGCGTGGTCCTGGTAATATGTCTAGCATTTATTGGTGGGGCGACCTATATGAGATGCTTCCTGGGCGGTCACTTCGTACCTTCAGTCATCGCTCTTCTAGATGTGCCAGGCTCTTTTCACCATCGGCTGCACATGCCAGATTGCCCGGGGCCTTTTCTTCGGCCGCAGTCTCAAGTTCCCGAGGCATCTGCTCGCGCGCACTCGCGCGCGCGCGCGCGCGATCCGCCCAAAGCACAAGCTTGAGGCGATGCTCCGAACCGCTGCTACTTGAAAGAGCCCTCCAACTGGAGAGACGTGATGGTGGTGCGGAGCCTGGCTCTGGATTCTGGATCTTGGGCAAGAAATCTGTTCTGGCCTCCGCAAACATGGTCATTTTTACTTTTGTGGGCCCTTCGCTGCAGAAGCTCCAGCCTCATCTACGGATGCGTCTGGAGTGAATTGCAGTCTAGCTGAAGAAAGATCGTTTAGGCAGCGCCCGAGGGCTGGTCTCGCTTGGCTCATGCTCAGCATTGCAGGTGATTTCCGAACAAGACGTGAGGACGATGAGAGTCCTCCGTATTTTCCGGGTCTGCGGCTCATTCCCGAAGCCATTACAGGGGTAGAGTGGGGGAGAGAAAAACGAACTGCACACCCAACATCATGCGATCATTCGTGTGTCAATCAGTGGAGCAGGTCCTCCGAGTCATTAGGGGGATGACCTTCTTGCCACGCTTGAGGACACCTTGTGAGGAGTTTAATGCGCCATGTGCGAATGTGCCGAATGCTGCTAGGACCACAGCACAAGCTCTTTCGAAGAGCGTGCAGGCCTCAGATTTTCGGGCAGGAGGAAGTCGAAGCAGTCTCTGGGTTTCCTCAGTTGTGCCGGCTCTGGATCTCGTGCCTTGCGATTACCTTCGCCCTGATCGTGGTCAGCATGGCTGGGTGTGAGGCTTACTTTCGCGTACCATTATGCTTGTAGGTAGGTCTTTTCCGGGTCTCTGCCTTTTGCTCGTCTTGAGGACAGATTTCTTTGGCGATGTTTATTGGAGGCCTTCGGCCTCTGCTGAGTTGGGCACAGTCTGGGGACGGTCGAAGGCTTGTTGAGGGTTTGGGGGGCCTGGGATGGGGTCTCGGTCGAGGACAGCGCGAGGGGAGCCCAGGTCCCAAACTGCGGGGTTACAGCGTTCAGAGCTGCAACGAAGCGTTTGGATGCCCAGCCATGAAACTGACCAGAGTACTACCCACAATCCTTGCAATCATGATAGTACTGTATTCCCTCATAGCCCGTGCATATCGTCAAACTTCGTTTCGCTTATATCATGCTAAGGCATCAGAGAAGACCAACGAAGATGCACGAAACCGCCTTGTTGAGGAAACCCAGCTTTATGCCGAGACACTGCAAAGGACAGTGCCCGGCCCGGTTCAGCCGAATCAGATTCAGGATTACACTGATGAGTTTAACACTTCAGGGAGGCCCGGACAATGTTTGGTTCAGATTGAGCATCAAACGAAGGAGTTTAACGCTAAAGCCAGGCCACATAGACAGTTCAAGGACTACGGGGCAGCCGTGCATGCGTGTGTTTTTTTTTCCGGCTTTGTCGACAAAAAAGAGGCAGTCGACGCTGCCCATGCACACTAAACCCACAATATTCTGAAACCCCCTTTCGCCGCTCAGGTGCTCAAAAGCTTACAGATGGGGCTTCGAAGGCCAGTAAGTTGCAAACCCCGCATGTACAACGCGGTTAAGGTGACTGAGTGTCGCGTCGACGTTTGTTTACTCAATTTGGACATGCGCTGCTACATGGTAAGCTCGAAATGCGAGTTGCTGGAACTGGAGTACTTGACGAGGATGGCTCATACTGCTTCGGAGATGGCTCGATATCGATTCAACCTGTCAGCACCGGCAGCCCGACATTCAAAGCCAGCTTCACTGCATCTCACAGCTAGAGAAGAAGCCATGAGTACTTCACGGGTCTTGTCGAACTGCTTTTTGAACGATGCATGACTTGCACACATGCACAGGCCTGTCAGATAGAACGAACATGATTAAAGCCTGCATAGACGACCATGCCGCATTTGCCACAAGATGGTGTTGTTCTGCGCTCATGCTCTTGCCGGTCCCGAGAAGATGCTGAGCCAAGCGCCTACTTCGAGCTGCAGTTGAAGAACATGCCGGAGCTGGAGGCGGTGGGTACTTTTGCGCAGTGCCCCCGCTGATTTTGCAATTGGCTTTGCAGTTGGTTGTTATTCAGTCTACGAATTCGTCTTTTTTGGCATTTCTGGCCGTCTCCGGTGATTCAGGTGTTTGACTAGCAAGATCTGTCCCACGAGGTTCTTCATGAGCTCACGCGGACAAGTGCAGGCTACCAGGCCTCTCTGCGGCCTGGAGCAGCAACTCCTATGAGGGAGAGGCAAAGTCGACGGCTTTGTGTTTCGTGCCAAAAACAGGGAACCATTTGTCCCGTAATCATCCTTGTGCACTTTGCCAGTCTGCCCGACCCACAGGTGATGCCCAACGAGAAGCCGGCCAAGAATTCTGCGGCCTATATTTTCAAAACAGATCCGGACGTGCTGGAGCAGTCCCGGAACATGCCCAAGGGGTTGAAGCGGTTGAGCGAACAAGAAGAAGCAGCGCCGTCTTGCTCGCGCAGCCCGTAATCAACATGCGGAGGCCTGATAAGCATGGCTCGATTTGCCAGACGTGCCACTGTGTCAATATTATCTTGGCAGTGGGTTATCTTGCAGGCGCTGGGTAAGGTGCTGCAGATATTGGCGAGTGGTGACTTCTTTTGCGTGGGTCACCTGAGTGCTCCACCGTGAACCCTAAGAGGCAGTCGGAGCAGGTTCAAGGTGAACTCTTTTTTGCTTGGAGTGGGCAACGCCTGACAATGGCATGTGGGCAAGAGAAAATGAAGCGGAAGCCTGTTAAGATGTACTCTGCCTAGTGCTTGTCGCACGCCTTGTGAAAGGGTTCTAGAAAGGTTCTTATCAGACTTTGGGGTTTAGGCTTAGGCTTTGTGGTTTGAGGTCTGCAAGGTTTCAGGTTTCCAGAGACGGGGTATCCCGTAAAGACGGAGCTGCGAAGGCTGCGGAAACTTAGGCAGGCGGCCTGGCAGCCTTGGAAACATCCCATGTGCATCCTTGTCCGAAGCATCATCCCCATCATCACTGTCAACGGCTCTGCGGAAGAATTAGATCGGGTTCGACTTGTCTCAATAGCAATATCAGGCTAAGTCCTCCCATCCACCCTTGAGTAGCCTGAGGCTGGGTCCTTCGGGATTGGCTTTCTGCGATAGCAGGGGCTCGTCTTAGGCTCTAGGGTTTAGATGAAATTATGATGGTCACTGATGGTCCTTCTTGTGGGGAACGGTTGTCGTGCGGTTGCTTTTTGCGAAGCGGCAAAGCCAAGACATCTCCTGAATCTGAAGCCTCTTACCTGACACCAGATGGACAGAACTTGTGCTTACAAGTACCACCAGCATCTACCGAGCTTGTCCGCAACATGCTTCAGGCTCCTGTGCTGTGCCTTCGGATAAAGCATCCCTTGTAGTAACCCTCATACAATCACTCTTTCAAACCCTTGATTTGGTCAGCTTTTGTTTTGTGGCTGCGTTGGGAGGCCTGGGAACTCGCTCCAAGCAATGCCCAGGCCCCCCAGGCGCCGCAGTGGGGAGAGAGGGAGGAGGGACGGAGGCAAGGAGTGGGAGGAGGGAGAGTGAGAGGGATGGCTGGAGGTTTCATGGGAAAGAGGAAGGGGCTTGAGGGTGGTTGTGCCTTGCTCCGGAGTTTCAGGGGTTTGGATCTTAGGGTTCTGGCTGTGTGTTTTGTTTGCGAGTGTTTCGGCCATGTTTCTAGAGAGCCCAGGGAACAGGTTCTTGTGTTGCAAGATGTCTTCGGTTTGATGTAATAGCGCGAGGTCTCACAAAGTGGACCATGCAAAACTCATCTCGTCACCTTGGTCGTGGACTGGGAGGTGTAGAGATGGGTAGCCTAATTTGGCTCGAAGCCTCAAGCCATCAGGGCCAAACCCCCAGAACTGCGGAACATGAACCTTCCAACCTGTTTTTGATACCCCATCTTCTCTCAAACCCCTTAAAGCGCAAGAGCCCAAACAGCTTTCAGGATCTGGCTTACGGGCAAGACCCGGAGTGCCAGGACCTGAGCGGAAATTCTGCATGGTTCAACCACTCGGGAATCTTTCATGAGTCTTCTCCTGACGAATTGACCAATGCATGAAGTCGGGAAGCCTGGGGGTTGGACCCACTTCTGGGCAGTCGAATTAGATATGTGTGCTTTTTGTGTACGGCTTTAGCCCTTACCCTTCAAAATCTCGATCCACACCCAATCCTCGCGCAGCATCTGTGCGGCCCTGGGTGGCAGTAGCAGAGTCACCTCGCAGCCGTTGCAGCCTCGCACGCTCTTCAGTCGAAAATCGGATCTGGGAGTACCGGCAGACTGCAAGCCACTGCTGTAGGGCACGGGTCGTGAAGCAGTCCGCCTTACAAAAGGTCGTGGGTTTTGGGATCGGCGCCAAACAACCCCTAGACGCCATGGGCGCCAAGAGCCGTAACGCCCCAGCGGTCCCAGCAGCTTAAAGCAGGGTTTGGCACTGCAGTCACTACAGCCCGAAGCCTGAAACACCAAACCCGAAAGCATCGCAGGGCTCGGCCCAGGCGGTATACCTCACTCGTAGGGCAGCCTCTGAATATTCATAAGGTCTATACACGAGGGCCCTCGCTTTCTCAAACTCCAACCCGGGGTTTCGGCTTTAGGCTTCAGGGTTTAGGGTTTCGGTTAGGGTTTTTGCTTTAGGCTTTTGGGGTGTCGTTTGGCATTCTGGTTTGGGGTTGAGGGTTTCGGTCCCAATAAGCAAGAAAGCATCCATTCGCAGATGTGATCTTGTGCTATCATTCGGCTCAAGATCGGGCCCAACACCGTTCTGCCCTGCCCTGCTCCAGTACCGCCCGGCGCATAGCAGGCCTTGAGCGGACTCCACGTCATGGTGACGTGGAGGTCGCTTCGCGTTGGCCATTACAGAGCGGAATCCATGTCATGGTGATATGGAGGTCGCTTCTCGTGCTGTCTCTCTGTGCCTCTCCCTATGTATATATATATATATATACTATATGCATACTCGTCTCTGTATTCGTGAGTGTTTTTATGTATTGTTTAATTGAGTGACTTAATCCGTCAACGAGCCAGTTGTTATGCCTTATCTTTCTGTTTCTTTCCGTACATATACATGCACATGCGTACATACGTAAACACATCTATGCATGCATAAGGTACACACACATATATATATATATATAAGAAAAATATATCATATGTATATACGTTTTTATGTATATATATATATACACACACACACACACTTATAAGCACACATAATCATTCATGCTGTGCCGAGGTCTGATTGGAAGATGCCGTCGAGGCCCCAGTGGTTGATCCAAAGATCTCCGCCTTTACGCACAGTGGGCCTTATCAAACGAAGCTTAGTTCCAAGCCCTAGAAGCCCTTAACCCTACACTTACACATCACAGCTCTGCGTTGCCAAAGTCCGCTTCATAGGGATATCCCCGCGGGTGCTGCGGAATATCCCTACGTACCATAAACCCTAAACACTTAAACCCTGCCCTAAACCTTCAACCCTAAACCTCCAAAACCTGGAACCCTAAACCCTATAAAGCTTAAAACCCTCAATCCCTAAACCCTAAAGCCCTAAAGCCCTAAGCCCATACTTTAGAACCGTCTAACCCTAAACCCTAGACCCGACAACCCTTAAGCCCAAGACCCTCAACCTGAAAACCCTAAACCCTAAGACTCTTCAGCCTTGGCAAGTATGCCCCATGTGGGTACATAGGTACTTAGGACCCGTCGGGAAATCCTTCAGAACTCCTCTGCGACTGCAGGCGCAATCGACGCAGAGGCGGCCGGCGGAGCCAGGAGCCTAGAACTTTTTAGGATTCCAGAACGGGATCCCTGAAGGGTTTTACAAGGGCTGCATAAGGAGCTTTGGGGCTTCGCTGTTAGTTTTGGTTTGTGGCTGGTTTTGGGACTTTAGCAGGCTTAGGGTGCTTAGGTTTAGCTTTGGTTTGTAACAGGTTTGAGGCTTCAGGAGGCTCAGAGTTCAGGGAGGTTAGGGTGCAGGGTCCTTCTGGCTGAGTTTAGCTGAGGCCTTTTCCTATTTCCTATTCCCTAAACCGCTATATTTCCAAATTTGCAAATCCGTAAGTCCGTAAACCTCAACACCCGAACCCGAAACCCCTGACGCAAAAACCCTCTAAACCTCTTCAACCCTGAGCCCGTAAATTCTACTCCCCAAACCGGATCTGCAATCCCCGGTTTTGTACTAACACCCCAATGTTTTGAGCCCTAAACCCCAGGTCAGTCCACGTCAGGTGGGCAGCGCCAGGCCTGTGGAGTGAGCAGGGCTTTCATGGTTCACGGTTCGTTTAGGGTGCCTTTACTTGATTTATCACGGATCAACAAAGGCGTTTTAGGGTTTAGGGGTTAAGGGGTTTAGGGGTCCTTCACATGTTCCTTTGAGGATTCGTTTAGGGGTTCCTTTCAGGGTTCCTGTAAAGCTTCCGGGACAAGGGTTTTGCCCGCTTGTCTGGGAGTTTGTGCATTTTTTTGGGTTTGGGGTTAGGGGTTTAAGGTTCAGGGTTCAGACTTTCAGTTTGGCCATATGCGGGATATCTTGACTCCGTGAGATTTTTGGTTGCTGGGGCATGAGGTACGTGATTCGTGGTCAAGACCACGCTTGTGATGTACTACTCTGTGTCTTCAGGTACGCATTGCTTTGGAATGAAATTGTCTGCGAGAGATCCGCCCCAGTGCTCAGCCATACCCAGGAATGGTTGAACCTACAGCCTATACCTAAACTCTTGCTGCGGGGCCGACCGCGAGGACACAGGCGTGCCGCTCGCTGAGCAACTTTGGCTTTTTGGCTAGCTTTGCTGTTGTGAAGCGTCGCCTGTTCTGTGTAATGTTCCCTTCAACACTCGCTCTGCCGCGGACATCTCAGGCATACAAATCCGACTCTTTTGACTTCGCGGTGCCATGGTGATGACAAAGCGGGCGGTCCCAGATTTCTCGCTCTTTGCGTTTCGCATTTTTAACTACGTTCTGACTTGGCACTTGCAGGCTCCGGGTTCAGGTGCTGAAGCGGGGAAGCGTGTGGCGGGGACTTTGAGCGGCAGCAGTCGGAGTCATCGAACAATAGCAGTAGCAGTAGCAGTAGTAGCAGCCGCAGGAGTAGTAGTAGTAGTAGTAGTAGTAGTAGTAGTAGTAGTAGGAGTAGGAGTAGGAGTAGGAGTAGGAGTAGGAGTAGCAGTCGTAGTGGTAGTCCATGCGATCTTTGGTCGTAAGGGGAGTGTTCTCTCTGAAGCCTTAACCTTGAGACGGCAATCTGCGAGGAAAAGGCTGCAAGAGAGATCCTGCGCTTGCTGAGGGCCCGGACCCTGGCAGCTGTCCGACTTTCATGTGGTAGTGCCGGCAGTAGTCGTAGTAGTAGGAGTAGGAGGATTAGGAACAGCAGTATTACTACTACTACTACTACTACTACTACTACTACTACTACTACTACTACTACTACTACTACTACTAGTACTACTGAAACTACTACTACTACTACTACTACTACTACTACTACTACTACTACTACTACTACTACTACTACTACTACTACTACTACTACTACTACTACTAGTACTACTACTACTACTACTACTACTAGTACTACTACTACTACTACTACTACTACTACTACTACTACAGCTAGCCACCCCTCTCCTACCAACCACCTGGTGCCTCATCATCATCGTTGGTATCGGAATACAACATCACGAAAGTACTGTAAATATCGAGTAAACTAGATATGCCCTTCAAAAGTACAGGGACTTCAATTCAGTTTCGAGGGGTTTGAACACTGTTGGGCTTGCGGGCTCTTGCAATGTCGCGTCTGAATAGTCTATGTAGGCCTTTGAGCATAGATTCCTTAGGGCCAGTGGATGTGCATTTATGCTGAGGCGGGGCCCCAATGCCATCCAGGCAGGTTCATCGCGCATGCCTTCGGACTCCAATGTCTTGCGGAGACGAACACGCTACAACCATGCTTACACGCCTCTATATCAGGGTGTTGGGGCGTAGCTTCTGAGGGTTTAAGGATCAGGTTCTTATGATCGGACTTCGGGTTTCACGGATGCGGGTTTGACGGGGTCTTGTGGATGATTGCGGTTAGGGTTGTAGGGCCAGGTTTGAGGGCTTGGGGCTTACTCCGTGAGCCCTCAGACCTGTGGAACTTCGTAAGGCTCCCCTTCTAGTCCGTAGGTGATCATACCCAAATGCTTTCATGATCCTATCCTACTCATTTTCATTCTACGATCCCGATATGGATCCCTTCTTGACCCCTTTAAAGGAACCCAGACAGTATAGCATCCTTATGGATCCCTTCTAGACCCCTTTAAAGGAACCCTACTCCCTACAAAACCGTCAGGTGAGGCAGGAGGGAGCGGGAGGCCTCCTCCAGGGTGCCCCAGCCACGGCCTTGCGTGCCATGGGCCTGAATTTTGGGATGCTGGCCTTCAACTCCAAGGCCGGCTTAGGCTTTAGGGTTTAGGGTTTGGGGGTTTAAGGGGTTAGGAGACCTTATTGAGAGGGTCTACATGCCCAAGGGTCCCCCTAATCAGCCCCTAATCCTATTTCCTACATTGAGTTCTTGTTAAGGGGTTTGAAAAAGTTACCATAATAAAGAAGCCTTGTCATTTGCTATAGATCTCTATGTCGGTATCTCAAAGAACCCATGTTTTGTTTGGACTTTTGGAGTTGCCGAGTTTGTACACGGGAACCCTGAACCCAAAGCCCTGCTAAGAGGGCAAGAATACCGCTTGAAAGTTCAGGGTTTTGGGTTTAGGGTAAGCGCTTGGCACAGTAGACTTGCGGGTTTGAGGCAAACCCTTCGGAGAGGATATATTCGGGTTTGCCGATTGGGGTTTGAGCAAGAACTCTTAACAGTAGCAAGATTTTTGCAAGGTCCGCGAGGTTTCTAGTTGCAGCAGCGGTAGCAGCAGTGAAATAGTAGGATGGGAGACCAGAGACTACATGCCAACAATGCTCGTAAACAAAGGGAACAGAGTCACAGTACTTGCGGTACTTCTTCCAGTTGTAAATGTACATGGACGGAAAGCCCCCAACCCCAAACCGAAGCGCCGATGTAGCAGTCTAAACAAGCAGCCACATAACTCGGGTCCAACAAGGTCCTACATGACGCCTACCGTAAACCCAGAACCCTACCCGTTCGGGCTAACCATGCGCCTCTTACGCCAAAAAGCCAATTCCGTGTTCAGGGTTTGGAGTTCAGACTCCCGGTATCCCAAGGCCCTCATCGGACCAAAGCTATACCGTGACACCCTAAATTCGAAACCTTCCGCCTCCAAACCGCCTAGCCCTAAACCCGAAATTCCTAAAGCTCTAAAACCTATCTAAAGCCCTACACTCCCCAACTCCTTCCACTCTGCGAGGTGTGGATCCGGCTTACGGAGGGCCGCCTCGTCCTATGGACCGCACTGGGGATGTTTTCGATTTTCGCATCTCAGGATTTAGGATTTGGGATTTGGGGAGGGTTCGTGCGCATGCTGTGATGGGGGATAATGGTTTGGGGCTTTTGTTTGAGGGTGTCCGGGTTTGGGGGAAGATTTGTAAAGCCCTAAGTACTGTTGTGATTCCTGTCCATCGGCCTTTGACTCACAGCGATTCGCTTGGAGCTAGGGACTCATGGGGTTTACGGTGTAAGGCTCGAGCTCACACGCTGAAGGTCTCAAGGCGTCACGGATAGGGGATTTATATTCATAGCTTTCTGCCATTTATGGTTTCAAGTTCGAGTTGTGGGCCAGAGGCGGTTTGAGATTTCCGTGGATTAAGAAAGAAGGCTTGGAGCCCTGTCATCCTCGGCAAGCCACGGGACCTTCAGCCCACGTGCACTCCTGTAGGATGACATGTACATATAGCCCGAACCTCGTCATGAACTCCTCAAGTCCTCCACCCGAGTTCAGGGCCCATCGTACGATATCCCATGTCGCAGCTTGTCCACCCAGAGCCCTTGCCTCTACTAGCTTCGAATGGGGCTTTCTAGGGCTTGGTCCAAGCGAGCACATGCCCCGTCAGGTTCCACACCAGAAACACCCTAAAGACACAAGTCATTGCACAGGAAACCCAAAACTCATCAAGATTCTAAGCGCCCTCAAGCCGCAGACCCCTGAACAGCAGGCAGGAGACCCCTAATTCAGATTCCCAAACAACTAAGACTTGAACCTCCGGGCCTTGAAGCCAAAACCGTAGAATGCGAAAGCACACTTTTCAGGTTCCCCGGTGTACGGAGGTCTGCGGTGTTAGGGATGACATCCTCGAACCCACAACCCTAAAGCGTCATGGCACAGGAGCGGCAAGCCGCCCACTTATACTATACGGTGGCTGCCAAACCCTGAACCCCATACACGCCTAAATCCTCAACCCTGGACCCTGCGTTGGATCCCTACGGCGAACAGGATGGCGGGTCAAGTCCTGACCCGTGCCCGACCCTGAATCCTAAACCCTTAGCGATAAAGGCCTGAACTTTAATTGCCTCAACTCACCCTCAGGTGGTCTTCCACTCGTTGAAATTCAGCGCCGATTGCCAAGTCGGGCCGCGGGTTTTTTCGGTGTGACATTTGTAGCGGTCCGGTCGCTGTCTCGTCGAGTCGGGCACACAGAGACGTTCTACAGTCCACACCGTGCATGCGTAAGTAGTATGTTGTGATGACAAGGCGAGTACGAGACTCCCATTGACGACGAGGCCCGATGCATGAGTGATGATGCGCTGAGGGTAGTTTTGGGCGAGACAGACGATCCTGTAGTTACCCGTCGTCTGCGTGACAGTGATAATAACACCAGCAGGGTGTGGGGGTTGAGGGACTTAATATAGGAGCAATTATGAAGGCTAGCATATTATAACACCCTAATAGATCCCCTATAGTAACCCTCATAGACCCCTTTAAAGGAACCCTAGAGGGGTCCTGGAGCTACTTTGAGAAGGGAGGGGTGTGCCTGCACCGGTGGTGCCTGTGGTCGCCATGGATCGATTCCTGCCTGTCCGAGCATCGGGTCCTGCAGTTAAGGCTTTTCGTAGAATGAGAGTGAGTAGGATAGGATCATGAAAACATTTGCGTATGATCACCTACGGACTAGACGGGGAGCCTTACTAATCTCCACAGGTCTGCGGGCTCACGGAGTAAGCCCCAAGCCCTCAAACCTGGCCCTACAACCCTAACCGCAATCATCCACAAGACCCCGTCAAACCCGCATCCGTGAAACCCGAAGTCCGATCATAAGAACCTGATCCTTAAACCCTCAGAAGCTACGCCCCAACACCCTGATATAGAGGCGCGTAAGCATGGTTGTAGCGTGTTCGTCTCTGCAAGACATTGGAGTCCGAAGGCATGCGCGATGAACCTGCCTGGATGGCATTGGGGCCCCGCCTCAACAGAAATGCATCCACTGGCCCTAAGAAATCTATGCTAAACCGGGCTGTGCTTGTTGCAAGCCCCTGCCCTGAACCCAATCCCTACATACTGAATCTCACATGCATGTATAGCTTGCGACTAAAGACTCAGGCTAACCCCTAACTGAATCTCAGGGACAAAAGGCCTCAAATCGTGGCTATTAACCACCCCTGACGGAGCGTTTCTTTTGCTCTGCCATGGACCTCGGACCTGCAAGCAGTCAATACTGCTGAAGCCTAAACCTTCTTTTAGAAATACGGTCATGACCCAGACTCTAAGGCACCAAACCCCAAACTGCAAACCCGAAGTACCCGAAGCCATCATAAACTCCGCGAAAGAAAGCTTACAATAGATGCACGTAAAATCCGAGTTACAGCCTTAAGCCGTAAACTCGGAGCCATAAGCACCACCGGACCCTCTAGGATCCCCAGGAACCTAGGAATAACATGGGCTCCTTTTTTGGTTTTGTGGCTCCCTTGATCCTTTTTGAGTGAACCTCTGTATCCAAGACGCGCGGCCTGGGTCGAGGCGCCTCCTCAGCCGGGAGTTCCGATGTACGGCATGACCCAGGCCCAGGTGAGCCTGGGGTTTAGGGTTTAGGAGTTTAGGGTTTAGGGTTTCGGGGTGAGAGTTCAGGGTTCAGGGTCAAGGGTGTTAGGGTTTTTAGGTCTCTGGAGGTTTAGGAGTTCAGGCTTTTGGGCTCGAGGTTTGGAGATTGGGATGCGGGGTTTAGAGGCAACCCTTGCGCTGCGATTGGGGTCGGGGCTTGGGTGTTCAAGACCCTCGGCAAGTGAAGGACACCTTGCTTGAGCTTGTGTACTCTGAGCGGGCTTATGGCGAATTCTGTAATACGGGTTAGGGTTTACAGGCGACCCCCGTGCAATCCCACAAAACCCAGATCAGCGAGGCATTTAAAACCAGGAGATTTGAACAAGTATTGATTTAATGGTATGCCTCGATAGGTGCTGGTATTAGAATGTATGTACTCTACAGCCCTGTCAGAAGTTTCGGTCCCGATGTTAAGGCTGGAGCGCAGGCCATACATCTCAGACCACAAGGACCCATCTCTTATAGGGGTCCCGGCTTACAGCCTTGAGCCCGTAATAATACCTCATTGGACCCCGCATCCTACACCCTGAACCGCGAACCTGAAGTCCCGTTCTATTATGCGAGGAGCCCAAAATGCTTCCCTGTTAAAGGGTCATAATGAAACCCCAGATAGCCCTAAGATGCTACCTGAACTAAGATGGTTGTGGGACTAGGAACCCCAGAGCATCTCATGTTTACTGTTGTTACTGTCATTGTTCCCATTACCAGTATCCGTACTCTTACCACTACTAGACTTATTGTCATACTGATGCTAAAATTATGTTTACGATTATGCTTATGATTAGGACTACCACCATTTCTTACTTTTCTTGCATTTACTTACCTAAACCACCAAAAGTAGGCAAAATGATGGCCCAATACCTGACTAATAGAGTTGAGCACTGAAAACATGCATCCTGAAGCTTTCGCTCTATGCTGTTTGGAGAAGTAGTGTCTGGTGTCCTGACTCTCCTTTTGCAAGGGTCTACTTCGGGGTGGTTCGGCCTCAGCTGTCCAGGGCATTGTGCTGGATCCTTGGCTTTCTCGGTCTCGCTCCTCTTTTCTGGGTTTTGTGCCGGTTCCCTGGCTACCCTTTTCTTTGTCCGAGGCTTTTTGCTTCGACCGGGGCCTCCCACCCCTGATCCTCCTTCGCCTCCCACTGTCCTTCGTCCTCCCCCTGATCTACGTCTGCGAGCTTACGCTTTGCATGGGCGATCAGGATCTGGCCAACACCATCGCTGAGGTGCAGGGGGCCCTTGAGAGGCTCCGCATTTCTGTGGAAAACCAGGCCAACCGGTCTGATTCTCCTTGGGTGGTGGTTAGTGACCCTAGTCCCTACCCTAGTGGTTCCTCCCCGGCCGGGGCCCAACCTCCTAGGGGTACTAGTGGTTCGGTGGTTGCGAGCCCTCCTTGTCGTGGTGACATCCGTGCTGGCTTTCCTGCTTGTCCTTCGCATTGCCTTGAGCTGTGCGAGCGCCTGGCTCCCTCCAACGGCTTTAGTGCTGCTGATCGCGCCCGCCGCGCGTGGACTGCCGGGCTTTGGGCGAAGAAGGTTTTTGAAGGGGCCGTGGCCACGCCTGATCCCTCTCCTGTGCTTAGCCTGCGGCCTGTGGTGTACATTGTGCTCAGGAGTGACCGCCTTGCTGGGCCAGCCCGCTTCTCTTCTTTCCGCTCGCTCCGTGCCGCTGTGGGGCCCCTTGAGGGTAGCAGCACCATCTGTCACTCTTTCCCTTCTCAGGCTGAGGCCCGTGTGTTCTGCATCGCTGCCGGCTTCCCCTTCCCGCCTGCGCAATGAACTTGGATGCTCTCAGGATCGATGGCGAATCGCCAGGGGCGATCTGTACTATTCGTTGGCCGCCGGTGGCCGATGTGCCGGATCGCGTTTTGCATTTAGCCTGGCCTCTGCTGAGTCGTCCCGGAGCTTTCCTGCTTGCTCTCCCGGTGGCCTTGCACGAGGATGCTGTGTTGACGGCTGGTGGCGCTACTTCCCCTTTCGGCCCTTCGATTGTGGTATGCGTGCCAGCCGTCGAGGAGGGCGATGTCGGAGAGGACATACCTGCAGGCTACGAGATGTCGGTCCTGCTGCTGGATGTGGAGGAGGCGGCTCTCAGGTTCATGAGCTTGTTCGACCCGGTAACGGAATCGGGTCTTGTTGTGGGCTTCGAGCCGAGTGCGGCCCATGTTCTTCCCTCGGCCGAGGATCTCATGCGTGCTGCCCTGACTTGGGTCGGGAGCGACCAGGTCTCTGCTTTGGCATATGTGACGGCCCAGGAGGAAGAAGAAGGGGTCCCGGAGGTGATGCCCAAAAGAGCTGCCAAGCCCAAACGGGTTACTACTGCTCAGCTTGCCGATCAGGTACAGCAGCTGGCCTCTGTGCTCCCAGGGCTTGTGGATCAGGTGCGTGTCCTGACCGAGCGCCAGGCTGCCTTGGCGCCTTCTCCTGCTTTGCCTGCCGGCCCGGCACACCAACAGGATTTCCCGAAGATTGCTTCTGTGGCTGCTCCGCCTCCGGCTCTCGCTTCCTTGGCGGCTGGGCTGCCTGCACCTACTCTGCTGGCGGCGACTCCGAAGGCCCCCGCGAGGCCAGCAGCTCCACCCCCTGCGGTCCCCGTGTCCTCTGCCTTGCCGTCCTCCTCGGACCACTTGGCAACTGCCATAGCTCAGCAGGGTCAGGCCCTGAGTCTCCTCGTGAACCACCTGGCTTCGCAAGGCGAGGCCCTGGACCTCTCGTCGGCCACGACAGGGCTGGGCTCGAAAGGTTCGGCAAAGAGGGAGCGGCTCCAGCAGGACCTCACGCAACGAACGGGGACCTTTTACCTGCAAGTGTGCCAGAATGCATTCCGCAAGCTCTACCCTGCCTCTCCGGTGCCTGCTTCCCTGGCCGACGTGACTTACCTGGAGCGCTTTGGAGGCTATGCTCAAAGTCGGGACCTTGCCCTGGTCATGCATCAACTTGCTTTCGTCGCCGACTGTCTCGTCCAGGACGACGTGCATGGTGCTCGCGAGCACTTGGGCTTGCTGCTGGCCTCTACGGAGCAGGCCGCTCAGGATCGCAACTGGTCCCTGGCTTACCTTTTGTGTCTCCTGGAGGAACCGGCACCGCAGGTGTATTCCTCGCGAGCCCAGGGTTCTGCAAGCCGCCTCCGGGCCTTCACCCCCCTCGTCTCTCCCACTTGGGGGTCGACTGCCCTTTCTTATGTTCGCGAGCTCGACCTGCTGACTCAGAGGAGAAACTTGCTGGTGCTCAGCAAAGAGCCAAAGAGCCAACAGCAGTCAACAGGGTTCGTGCGCGCAGGTGCTTACGATGGCTTTTCTTGAATGAAAAATCGCAGTGCTGCGACAAACAGGAAAACCGTACACAGCTCGCTCTGCGTTCCCAAACCACTGTCCGAAATAGACAACAAGTACTAATTACTAATTACCCGTCTGGACAATGCCCGGACGTTTGATCCAGAAACGACACACTCGCAGGGTAATTACTGCACGGGGAAACATTTCTAAGCACACCGCTCGTGCCCTAAACCTGTAGAAGCCATACCGCAACACTTACACACTCACACCTTATTCTTTGGACAAACCATGGTCGTGAAACATGTCCAACATCTTGAAAGAGACGTGCTCGCGGTGCACCGTACGCCGTACACAGTAACTGTTGTCTTGGAGCCCTGCGAAACGAGATCAGGGGAAGCATGGGGGAGGACTTATAGCTTGACTAATTAAGCTCGTCTACACGTCAATATGCCGCGAAGCTTCCATAGAGCCGCAAGATATTCCTGCGCGTGAACGTACAATATGTGTGTTTGAACCCCTGCGTCAGGAGTGAAGCGACGCACGTCTCTTCGTGCGCCAAGTGGGTTCGAGCAGGTCGTAGATCTGACATGTCGGGATCCCGCCAGCAAGCTCAGGACAAGAGTGCGGTGCATAATTTCAGCGGTTTTCCGTGCTGCACTGGTGCAGGGGAAGTGCCACGACGCCGCAAAAACCAGAGAGAAACGAGGTCTGCGACAGAGCATGAGAAGACAGTGCAAGAGGCAAGAGAAACAAGAGAGAGAGAGAGAGAGAGAGAGACAAACTCTTCGACGGAGTTACTACTGCACCGGTACAAGAAAAGCGACAAGAAAGCGCCAAGTAAGCAATGAAAGCTTGGCGACGGAACACCGCTGGCTTACCACTTTGCTACTGCTGCAACAGATTGTCAGCTCGGGTCAAGACAACATGCCATCAGAGGGTATCAGCGGCAGCCTTCATTGGGAAAGAAATACTTTGCACTTCGAATGTTGTTAACATCTGGGAAATGTGCCCAGATGTCGAGCGAATCTCCTATCAAGCAGGCACGGCGGTTTATGTGTGTTGCGGGCAGCGCACCGGTGGTCATCAGCGTGATGCCTCATAATGTGCAGCTGCAACTTGCAACTATTCGGAGCCATTAGTTTCTGCAGAGCTAACAGCGCATGCTTTGGCAGCTTGCCACAGTAAGACGAGCCGAGTTTAATGACCACCTGCGTGGCCCCAAAACTCTAGCTTCAGCACTTTATCAAGCAATTTGCCTCTGGTGTTTTGTCGCGTTAAGTCGCCAATTCAATAGATGAAAATTGCCCACCTTTCGGAAGGCCGGAAGTCCGCTGCTCACCTGAGAATGGATGATGTGATGTTTCCTAACGCAAAATGCTGCCGATTCTGAAACATAAACTAATCGTCATGCCCAACCATGATGCACCAGCAGCTAGGCCTCAAGAGGTTCGTCTTCGGCTGACGCTCCGGCGGATACGATGTCTGATTCCTTACAGGGTATTGGGCGGCTCAGGGTTTGGAGCGTCCACAAAAACACATCAGTTTGCAAACCCAATGGACAAAGTGCGTGTGACTGCCCTTCAACTTGGACATTCTGCCCGACTTATGGTTTTACAAACAAAAGTCGGCCACTTTCACTGCTATGCTTTAGCCACGGCGCAGGCATGATAGCCTCCCAATGAGAGAAGGGGCTTGCGTCATGATGGCTTACTATAAAGACTTGCGCCGGTCGGAGGGTTCGCTGGAGACTGCAAAACTTTGGGTTTCCTGGACATCTTGCAAGGATGTTCAAGGGTGTTTCAAGACGGCTCCCCAGGATTACAGGGCTTGAGGGCTTTTTTCAACTAAGGCAGGAGCTTCTGGGCACCCTCAAACAACAATGTAGGGGCACCAGGATGCTTAAAGGCGCTCTTCCAAGACTCCAGGGGCTTCAGGGCCCCCGACAAACTGCAGCTTCAGCTCCTTATAGAGTCCCAGAGACTAAAAAAAAGCTTGCTGCGCGTTTGGCTCTTTGGCTCTGCAAGCGGATGGGAAGGAAATGAAGCATCCCTGCTGAGAGCGGCGGCGCTTATTGCCCCCACACTCTCAGCAAACGTGGGCGTCCACGACTGCTGAGGGCAGGGGGTAAATCCATAACGAGTGCTTGATGAGAGCGGGGGGTTCGCAGGCACGGGTGTTCTGAGCAGGCACTGCCTCTTCCCGAACCCCCACCCCTCAACAGGCGTGGGCGTCCACGACTGATGAGGATACCCCTGCAAGCCACCCCCCCCCAAGCCATCAGACCGAGGATTTGCGGAGCAGGTTTTTCTCCCCCAAACTTTCACTTGTGCCGATTTGATCTATCGTACAGGCTTAGGGCTTAGGGTTAGGATTTCATGTTCCGTATTCTTTCCACTCCACTGGCAAAACCAAACAATCAATCACGCGAGAAGCCTTTCTAGTCCCTGAAAATCATAGTCCCGCTTTTCGGGATCCGCGAAGCCCCTGCAGTCTTTCTGGAAGCTGAACTCCAGGCAGTCCTTTGGGGGCCTTTAAGCCCCTGCAGTCTTCGGCTCTACACTCTGTGGGGGTCCGGGGCGCTCGAAGCTCCTGCAGTATATCATGCGCCCTGAAATCCTGTTCTTGGGGAGCGGCCGAGCCCCCGCAGTCTTAAATCGCCCCTGCACACTGACCAGGAAGCCCCGAAGCTTTGCAGTACCTAGCCAGCCCTAAAAGATTGCAGGCCTGCACAGTTTTGATTGAGCCATCAAGCCCCTGCCGTCATGGGGAAGCCATCATGCCTGCGCCGTCACTAAAGCATAGCATTGGAAGGTAGCCGACTTCGCGGTCGGCGGAATGTCCCAGTTAAGAGGCGGTCACATGAATATTGTCCTGTAGGGTTGCATTGTGCGGTTGTTACGGATGCTCTAGACTCAAGACCCTGAGTGGCCGTTAAATCTGCAAAGAATCAGAGATCGTACCCACTGCAGCGCGAACTGCTTAAGGCTTAGGTATTGGTGCTTCGTGGTTGGGGCGTGGCCACTATGTTTCAGAATCGGCAGCATCTTGAGTCTTTGAGTCAGGAAACATCGCTTCATCCTTTCTCACAGGTGGTCTTTAAACACGGCTCTTCTATCTGTGGCAAGCTGCCACAGCATGCGTTGCTAGCTCCGCAGGAACTATAATGGCTCCGAATAATTGCAACTGCACATTATGAGGCGTCACGCTGATAACCGCCGGCACGCTGCCCGCAACACATAAACCGCCGTGCCTGCGTGATATGAGCTTTCGCTCGGCATCTGGTCACATGTCCCAAGATGTTAACAACCTTCGAAGCGTGAAGTATTTCTTTCCCAATGAAGGCTGTCGCTGATACCCTCTGATGGCATGTTGTCTTGACCCGAGCTGCCAATCTGTTGCTGCAGTAGCAAAGTGGTAAGCCAGCGGTGTTCCGTCGCCAAGCTTTCATTGCTTACTTGGCGCTTTCTTGTCGCTTTTCTTGTACCGGTGCAGTAGTAACTCCGTCGAAGAGTTTCTCTCTCTCTCTCTCTCTCTTGTTTCTCTTGCCTCTTGCACTGTCTTCTCATGCTCTGTCGCAGACCTCGTTTCTCTCTGGTTTTTGCGGCGTCGTGGCACTTCCCCTGCACCAGTGCAGCACGCAAAACCCCTGAAATTATGCACCGCACTCTTGTCCTGAGCTTGCTGGCGGGATCCCGACATGTCAGATCTACGACCTGCTCGAACCTACTTGGCGCACGAAGAGACGTGCGTCGCTTCACTCCTCAAGCAGGGGTTCAAACACACATATATTGTACGTTCACGCGCAGGAATATCTTGCGGCTCTATGGAAGCTTCGCAGCATATTGACGTGTAGACGAGCTTAATCAGTCAAGCTATAAGTCCTCCCCCATGCTTCCCCTGATCTCGTTTCGCAGGGCTCCAAGACAACAGTTACTGTGTACGGCGTACGGTGCACCGCGAGCACGTCTCTTTCAAGATGTTGGACATGTTTCACGACCATGGTTTGTCCAAAGAATAAGGTGTGAGTGTGTAATTGTTGCGGTATGGCTTCTACAGGTTTAGGGCACGAGCGGTGTGCTTAGAAATGTTTCCCCGTGCAGTAATTACCCTGCGAGTGTGTCGTTTCTGGATCAAACGTCCGGGCGTTGTCCAGACGGGTAATTAGTAATTGTTGTCTATTTCGGACAGTGGTTTGGGAACGCAGAGCGAACTGTGTACGGTTTTCCTGTTTGTCGCAGCACTGCGATTTTTCATTCAAGAAAAGCCATCGTAAGCACCTGCGCGCACGAACCCTGTTGACTGCTGTTGGCTCTTTGGCTCTTTGCTGAGCACCAGCAAGGAAAGGACACTGTTTCGCCCAAGGCCCCGTCCGGCGAACTTCACGACGACGCCGCGGCCGCACCAAAGCGGCGGCCGCGCTTTCCGAGGAAGCCAAAGGACCCGCAAGCTGCACAGTGACTCCTGCTTCGGCTCCGCCTGCTTCTCCCGGCCTTGAGCCCACGTCATTTGCACCACGACCCCCTACGGATGTGCCCTGCCCTTTGTCCTCGCAGGCTTCCCCGTCGGGCCCCTGGCTGGCCCCCACTGCCGTGCCCTCTTCCGTGGCATCGCCACCTTTGGATTCTATCGGCAAGTGTGCTGGACAGGTTCTGCATGATCAGCCCTTTTCGCCTTCGGCTGCCCTCTCCTTTAGACGATGGGCTTTTTCGTTGGCCTCCCGCCTGATTGCCGGCAAGACGGCCTTCTCGGCTTTTTTCAAGAGAACTCTGCATCTGCGCTGGTGCGGCCAGCCGGCCCCAGCTTCAGTCTTTTTGCCTTTGCCTGTTCCCTGCCCCGGTGCCTTCCGGTACCTAGGCCACTCAGGTCAGCGTCGCAGGCAGCGCTCTGCCTGCCAGGTCGCTCTCCATGCCGTGGTGGTCGCGGTCAACTTCATCTACTACGACTGCGCTTTCGTGCCGCTCCGGCTCCTAGCTCGACCTCCTAATCCTGCCCAGGAGCGCTGCCTCCTCTACCTGAAGGGGATGGTCCAGACTTTCGGTGACGTCAAGGAGGGCATCTTCCCTTCCGAGACGGGCCGCCACCGAGGTTTCTCAGAAACTCGCTTTGTTGGGTCCGCTCGGCGACCCATATGCATATGTGCCGGCAGGCATCGAGGTGCCCATGTGCAACACCACTCCCGACCTCGAGCCTTACCGCTCCCTCTGTGCCGAGCGCCTGCGCCTGGCTGGTAAAGCAAATTGGAAGCCCGAGGACTACCTGCCGCCTGAGCTTTTGATGGCATACTCTTTGCCTTCTTCTTTGCTGTGCGGCCGGACTCCCTTTCCTGAGGAGTTTCCGCGAGCTGATTTTGAGTCTGTGTGTGAGACCAGGGCCTTGGCTGTGAAGTGGGCTTCTCTTGACCTGCTCCACCTTGAGCCGGCCCAAGACCTCCCCATGCACGAGTTCACTCGCATTTTTAATGCCTACAAAAGCGCTGAGGTTGATCGCCAGATTGGCGACCGTAGAGGTCGGAATGCTGCTGAGGCCAGGCTCCCCGGACCTTCGCGCTGGCTCCCCTCTGCAGATGTGTTGTGTGCCGTGAGCGCCGATGCCAAGAAGGAAGCCCTTTGCCTCTCGATGTCGGACAGACGTGATTATTATCACCAGTTGTGGGCGCCATGGTCCAGGACTGTGACTAACAGGCTTTACCCCAGCTTCAGCCCGGAGGAGTTTCGGGGCACGGCTGCCTATGTGAAAGGCTGAGGTCGCGGACCTCTCCCAACTACCTGGGCCCTGCCGGCCGTCCTGCCTCAGATCCGCCTCCTCTCGCGGCATGGCCGCGCTTGGTGCAGCCATGCTTCCGGGCGGTCTTGCAAGGGGATCACCTTGGGGTTGAGCTAGCGGTCGCCTCTCACGAGCGACTCCTCATTGGGGCTGGGCTTCTCCAGGAAGAATCCAGACTTTACGGGTCGTGGCCCGTTGGCCGCGGCCCTCATTGGGAACTTCTTTGCCATCGCCAGGGTCAGTCGCCGGTCTTTGCTGCAAGGGTGCGCCTCCTCTTCTGGCTTGGCGCTTGATACTGCCCTTGGCTGCTACGCCAATCATGGCCTTCTAGGGTCTCCTGAGAAAGACCTTCGCGACCAAGTGTTTGGAAAAGCCGCGGGGGCTGAGATAAACTCTTCTGCCGCCGCCCTGGCGCGAGGACACATTCTGGTCGCGGCCCCTAGCTGCAAGAGGCTCGCACTTTCAGACCTCACGCTGGAGGTGAGCACTCTGCCTGCAACCACCGATTGCCTGCATTCTTGTTTGCTGGGTGCCTGGACCTCTGCGGCTTTGTTTCGGAGGCCTGTCTCCGCTTGCTTCCAGCATGCCTATCGCCTTTTCCCGTCCAGCTCTTTGGACCCTGGGTCGCCTAAGATAGTGCCACTGCCCAGACGGGTCGCGATGGAGCTTCAGCTCATTTCTGTGCTGGCCCCCCTCGCGGCTACTGACGTCTCTGTGCCGTATCTGCCCCGCCTTTTCGCAACGGACTCGTCTGAGGCAAAGGGCGCGATCGTTTCGGCTCCCATCTCTCGTGAGCTGTGCCAATCCCTGTGGCTGTGCTCCGACAGGAAAGGCGCGTACTCGAGGCTTTCCTCTCGTACCCAGGGCATTCTTCAGCGGGCCGACCCTCTCTATGAGGACACAGGCGAGGACCATGGGCCGGAAGAACCTCTGCCGGTGCCGGGGCCTTCCCGTCCCCTTGCCTACGACTTTGAGTTTCTAGAGCTCTCGCTTGGTCCCCCTGATCTCTCTCAGGAGATAGCTCGTCGAGGTTTTCGAGTAGGGCCACACGTTGATCTTAGACTCGGGTCTGATTGGGGGCTTCAGCGGCCGGTCGTCCTTGACTGGGTTATGCACCTGATCGACGCTGGCCGGCTGCTCGGCATCTACATGGTCCCGCCCTGTGCCTCCAGCCTCCCTTCCGTACGTGGTGCTGGTGCCGTGCCTTCTAGAAGCCGGTGGGGCGTTCCAGGTGAGCGATACGAGGAGGCTGCATTTGTGCTGTGTGCTGCCGTGTTCAAGCATGCCAACCGTCGGGGGATCTGCGCTCTATTAGAGCTTCCTGCCTCCTCGGATTTTGTGGCCGGCCATCTGTGGGCCTCCTGCCGGGCCCTGCCTTCTGCTTCCCAAATCGCGCTCTCTGCTTGCGCTTTCGGTGACCGCCGTCGGCGCGACCTGCTTGGACTCGCCACGGGCCTTGAGTGTTCCTCGTTGTGCCTTCCTTGCCCAGGGGACCACAAGCACTCTGTGCCACGTTCAGGTTCTGCGGCCACCGGTTTCAAGCACTGTGCCGGCCTTGTCGTTGCCTATGCTCGCGTTCTTTGCCGTGCTCTGCGGTCCCTACTGGCATGTACTGAGGCCTCTGATCCTCCTGTGTCCGGCTTGGAACGCCAGTGCGTGAATGATTTAGCCCTTGGCCTCGAGTGGGAAATTTCCTCTTCGTGGTCCTGGCCCCGGCCCATCCACATCAATATCCTCGAGTCTTCAGTGTTGTGTCGTCTCTATAAGGATCTTGCTGTGCGTTTCGGCCCCTGCCGAGCTGTCGCCTTTTGCGACTCCTTTGTAGCTCTTTCCTCTCTAGGGAAGGGCCGCTCTTCGTCAAAGAGCCTCCGCCACTCCGCCCGCCGGGCTTCGATGATCTGCCTAGCTGCCGGGATCTACCCAGGCAGCATGTATACACCTACCCGTCTGATGCCTGCGGACCACCCTACGCGAGACAATGACATTCCGCCCCCCGTCCCTGGACTTGGGCCTGCCTTTTGGACTTTCGAAGCTGTCAAGCAGGACACTGTTCGCCCTCGCCTCCGGCGGTGGGCTTCCTCCTGGGTTCGACTTGCCCTCCTTCTACGGCCCTGCCTTGGGCTACTTGCACCTGAGTCAGTAGGCTGTGCCGATGCCCACCTTGACTTCAGGGCTTTTGTGCGAACCCGGGGCTTCGATAGCTCCCTTGGCTTCCCTGGTGAAGGGCCTTTCTTTCAGGGTGCTCGGGGCTTACTTTCTGCTCTCTGCTTCCTCTCCCTGTCTGGTCGCCTTCGTCTCCCTCTCCTCTGTCTTGTCTCTCCTGTCTTCGGAGCCGCCCAAGCCATGGATGTGCCTCGAGCCGCAAAGCTGGAGACACAGAGAAAACTGTCGAGACTGGGCATTGTTCTGCGAGCTGGCCGACCGGTACAGAAGGAAACGCAGCTGAGGCGCGACAAGCTCAGGGAACTCTTCGAGAAATGGTTAGCCACCCTCGGGTTTTCCTCTGAGTGGTTTCTCGCCAGAGCTCGTTCCGACCCTGACTTCGCCAATGAGGTGTTGGTTTGCTATGGGCAGTATATGTTCAAGACGGGAAAAACCTACAGCAGCTATTCCGAGACGCTTAACATGTTTTCGTCACTGTGCCCGTCGTTGCGACGGCTTTTGCAACCCGCATGGGACTTGGCTTTTGCCTGGCAGCGTGAGGAGCCGCCAGTGCATCATACGGCTATGCCTTGGCAGATCGTCGCAGCTGCCCTTGCGATTGCGCTTACTTATGGATGGCTGGATCTGGCAGGCGTGATCTGCCTTTGCTGGGGTGGGCTTGCAAGAGTTGGCGAAGTACAAGAAGCAACCAGGGCGGATCTTGTACTGCCGACCGACACGGGCACGCCTGCCTCGCGCTACCTTTTAATGTCCATCAAGGAGCCTAAAACTCGTTTTCGGGCGGCTAGACACCAGTCTCTTCGAGTCGACCAGCCACAGCTGCTGCGCATCATCGTCATGGCTTTCGGGTCTTTACAGCCCTCGGAAAAGCTCTGGTCTTTTTCTGGTTCCACTTTGCGGAACCGTTTCAAGAAGCTGATGCTGGCGCTGCGGCTCGACCGGGGCATTGTACCTGGAGTCAAAGACTTCGACCTTGGCTCCTTACGTGCAGGAGGGGCCACCTGGCTTATGGACATGACAGAAAACCCGGACTACGTCCGTCGGCGGGGCAGGTGGATCACCACGAAAGTGATGGAGATCTACGTGCAAGAGGTGGCTTCTTTGACTTTTCTCCCTCGCCTTCCAGACACCGTCAAGCAGCATATCTTTGCCTGGGCAGGGCAGTTTGCTGCTGTGGTCGACAAGGTTGAAGCCTGGCACAGCTTCAACGTGCCCCCGGTCTCTTGGAAGTTTTTGATGGCTCACGGCGCTTGATGCATGTTGTTGGTGGAAGATGCTGAGATGCAGGAGACTTTGGGGGTGGCCATTCTCTCCAGCGGAAACCCGCTGAGCATCATGTGCACCGGATGCAGAAAAGAGGTGCGAAACTCTGACTAATAGAGTTGAGCACTGAAAACATGCATCCTGAAGCTTTCGCTCTCCCGCCCTCCGCGCCCAGCGCCCGTGGCCATTCTCTCCAGCGGAAACCCGCTGAGCATCTGTACTCCATGTGCACCGGATGCAGAAAAGAGGTGCGAAACTCTATAAAAGGCTTTTATTCTACATACTTTTGGGGTCTAGGTATAGTATGCTATACTATAATGTACCATAATATTCTATTGTTACTATTGTTACTATAATATACTCTAGTTCACTATTGTTACTCAGAGTCATCCCTGAGCCCACAGTGGAGGCCGGCACACAGTGGGTTGACAATCCGAATCCTCCTCCGGTGCAGGATATGGCCGGGTCCTTGGGTCGTAGGCCTTTTGAGGTTCAGGTGGTTTCGGGCTTTGTGGTGTTTGGGAGCTTGGGATTTGAGGGTTTCTTTTTGTGGCTTCGAGAGTGCAGGATTTTAGCATGTGGGCTTTGAAGGCTGTGTAGGGATGCGGGTTTAGGGGGTTTCGGATGTACAGGTTGTGTTCAGTCGTAGTCTGTTTTATGGCTTAGATAGAGTCATTCCGATACCTTCAGGGTTTAGGTGCGCATGGGGCTTTTGCCAGGGTTTAGGGGTTCTGAAGAGAACAGATGTAGCTTATGTCCGCACGACACATACCCCGCATATCTTTGTTTTGTCACAAACAGCAAACCTCTCGTGTCTTTCTGCCTTCCCGTGGCTGAGAGCCTGCCGAAGCCACCAGTCCTAGATCCCAAACCAGAAACACCGAAATCGTAAGCTCTTTGAAAGCCTACGGCCGCGGAGCAGAGGCCGTTGCGGCTCGTATTTTTTTAGTTCGGACTTGGTACTTACAGGCGCAGGGTTCAGGTATTGAAACGAGGATCAGGATAAGGGTTGAAGTGTTCCTAGGGTCCTAGGGACTTGTGGCTTGGGATAACAATGAGGGCAAGCCGATAAGCCTGAAGCTTGACATCCCAAATCGCAAGCAGTGCATATATTATGTTGTTATAGTATATTCCATTACGGTATATTATGTGATATTATATTATAGTATACTATATATACTATATGAATCTGCAGAAGCCCTTTGAGGTCTACCAGTGGGTTGACAGCCCATCGTACGGCCGACCGGCAGCGGCCACCGCTCACCCGCAGCCCTACGTGCAGGCAATTAGCTCGGGTATGTGAAGCCAGTTGAGCATGTGTTTTTAAGATCGAATCGTAGAAGCAGCAAATGCAGTCATCGGAAATCAGTAACCAAGACCACGACCACTGCCACGACCACCACTACTACCACTACTACTTCTTCTGCTACTTCTGCTACTGCTACAAATGCTACTACTGCTGCTGCTGCTACTACTACTACTACTACTCCTACGATCTCGACTACGACTACGACTACGACGACGAGCACGCCGACTGCTACCACGCTTTGGTCGTGGTCGTGGATGTGGAAACTAGTGGCAGTGGCAGTGGTGGTGGTGGCGGTGGTGGTGGTGGTGGTGGTGGTGGTGTATGTAGTCGTTGTCGTAGTAGCAGCCGTAGAAGCAAACAGCATGTAGTAAGTAGCCGGGTGTCGCACCATGCTGTTTCTATCAGCCTAACCCTTCAGCTCTTCACCTTGAACTCTGCGTAAACTTTACAAGAACCTTGCAGCAACTGACAGCGAACCCAGCACTCCCGGAAGAGCATAGCCCCAAGAAGACCCACTAAGAAAGGGGCCTAGGTATTTACGTATGCTATCTTGGGGGTTCCTTATTATAATTATAGAAGAATGGGCCCCAAAACCCTTAAGGCCTCCATATTACAATGACCCTTGCCACACAGCACGAGCCCCATAAGGAAGCTTCTGAGCCAATAAGGGGTACCTTTTTTGGGGTCGTTAAAACAAGGATCCTACTATTCAGGGTACTATTTTAGGGTCCCCAATTTTCTGAAACTCCCATAAAGCAGGCCAGGCATCGGCTTTAAGACAGTCCTGGTTTGAGGGTCAGGGTTTTAAGGACAAGGACTGGAGGTTGGAGGTTCATGGTTGAGGTAGTGGTTCAGAAGTTCATCGTGGTTTTGTTAGGGACTTCAATTCAGTTTCGAGGGGTTTGAACACTGTTGGGCTTGCGGGCTCTGGCAATGTCAAGTCTGAAGTGTTTATGTAGGGCTTTGAGCATAGATCTTTTAGGGCCAGTAGATGTGCATTTCTGTTGAGGCGGCGCCTGCGAACCCATACTATCCAGGCAGGTTCATCGCGCATGCCTTCGGACTCCAATGTCTTGCAGAGACGAACACCCTAAAGCCAGCCACAAGCCCGAGACACGAAAAAAAAACATGCTTAGGGTTTAAGGATCAGGGTTCTTATGATTAGGACTTCGGGTCGCGCGGATGCGGGTTTGACGGGGTCTTGTGGATGATTGCTGTTAGGGTTGTAGGGCTAGGTTTGAGGGCTTGGGTGGACTCCGTGAGCCCTCAGACCTATGGAAACTAGCAAGGCTCCCCTTCTAGTCCTTAGATGATCATGCGCAAATATTATTTCATGATCCTATCTACTCATTTTCATGTCTACGATCCCGATATTCGATTCTTCATGGATTTTTAGGACTTTTTTGGAGTTGCCGAGCTTGTACGTGGGAACCCTGAACCTAAAGCCCTGCTAAGAGGCCAAGAAAGCCGCTTGAAGGTCCAGGGTTTCGGGTTTAGGATAAGCTCTTGGCAGAGTACACTTGCGGGTTTGGGGCAAACTCTTTGGAGAGGATATATTCGGGTTTGCCGATTGGGGTCTCAGCGGGCACTCTTAACAGTAGCAAGATTTTTGCAAGGTTCGTAAGGTTTCTAGCTGCAGCAGCGGCAGCAGCAGTGAAGTAGTAGGATGAGAGACCAGAGACAACATGCCAACAGTGCTAGTAAACAAAGGTCACAGTAGTTGCGGTACTTCTTCCAGTTGCAAATGTACATCGACGGAAAGCCCCCAACCCCAAACCGAAGCGCCGATGTCAACAAGGTCCTACAATACGCCGACCCTAAACCCAGAACCCTACCCGTCGGGTCCCTATTTTCGGAAACACCACCCATATAGAGTCCTTTAAGGGATCCGTTATAGTACCCTCATAGTAACCCTTCAAAGGAACCCTGAGGGTTCCCTATCTTCGGAAACTCCCAAGCCCTAAACCCTAAGATCCCTAAAAAAGGGGCCTTTATGGTACCCTTTAAAGGAACCCTAAGGGCCCCCTATCTTCGGACACTCTGCGAGGGGTGGATCCGGCCTACTGCGGGCCCCCGCGTCCTATGGACCGCACTGGGGCCCCGAGGATGTGTTCGATTGTCGCCTCTCAGGATTTAGGATTTGGGGTTTAGGGTTTAGGGTTTAGGATTTAGGATTTACTTACTATTGATATTGGAGGAGCTAAGGAGCCAGGGATGATGATAATCCCTATCAAAATAGGAGCTAAAGAGCCAAGGGAACCTCCAAAACCACTGGTTAGTTTAGGATTTGGGGAGGGTTCGGGCCAATGTTGCCATGTAGCCTGCTATTTACAATCATATGGGTGGGTGTCAATATTAAGGCCCCGTTTTTGGGTCCCTATTATAGTACGGCACCTAATATTTAGGGTACCCAAGAAGGTGCCATAATTTTGACCACCACCCATATAACTATGTCAAATAAGATTGCTAGGGTGTTGTTTGAGGTTCCGGGGTTTGCGGCTGGACATCGTTGGGGCTCTGGCACTTTATAGTAGAAGCCAGAAAGTTGGAAGATGATTGTCCTAACCCTTCTATGGTAAAGTACAGGGTATCCTACCATGAAACCATATTCCAACTTTCTGGAGTTCCCTGTAGCTTGAAAGTAATGCAAGAAAAGCTTGAGCCCCATGACAACAAAATCCGTAGCACCGCCCGAAAACGATGTGTCGTTCAGCCCAGCCCGCGTAGTGTTTGTGAGAAGGGGCCTACTTTTCTGGTGCTGTATTTGGGTAGCTGGTTTAGTGTGAAGTTCCTTCTTCACCCTGAGCCCTAAACCCTAAACCCTTAACCGCAGGACCCGATGCTCGGGCAACCAGGAATCGATCCACTGCGACCACCGGTGCAGGCACACCGCCTGCCTTCTCAAAGTATCTCCATGACCCCTCTGAAACATACTATTTCCTAAGGGTTCCTTTGAAGGGGTCCTACAAGGGTTACTTTAAGGGATCTACAAGGGTACTATAATATATTGGCCTTAATAATTACCTATACTATTTTGGGGGTTCCTTCTCATAATTACAGTATCATGGCCCCCAAAACCCTGTTCTAATTATTAAGGCCCCTATATGAACTCCCTCAGCCCCCAAACCTGCTGGGGTTGCTTCAATACCCCTTTGCGCCAAGCATCTCCTAAAGTCCAAATAGATCCAGCCGCTGGCCAGCATAAAACCCAAATCAGAAGCTTACACTCCTTATCAGACTCCCGAAATGAACCGAGCCAAAGCCAAACCTACACGCCCGTTTTGAGATCACTGAAGTAGTTCTGTTGCCCATAACAGGGTGTTTGTTTGGTTGAATCAGGCATTTGTCGCAGTGGGACGATCGCAAACGAGTTAGTTTGAATTTTTCCCACCATCCTTCCCTCTGGGATTTGGGAGTATTGTGCTTCATTCGAACCTTGGTCTGTTTCTGTATTCTTGTAGTGATTGTAGTGCTAAGGACGTGATTGACTTGAGTCAACGCGGCAAGGTCGCAGGCTTGTTCCGGACCAGCCAGTGTAGAATGAATGGGCAGTCTGTGCACCGTAACTTTGGGGTGCTGCAGACACCCTTCCCAAATCCTAAACCGCGAAATCCTTATCAACCCTAAACCCTTTAAACCCCAAACCCTAAAACTTCCCTATCCCCTAAACCCCAAGCCTCTA